CCTCCTCCTCCTCCCCCCAGGGTCCAGGCTTGCCAGTGGTCCGAGCTGCGCGCTGCCTGGGTGACGGGGGTGCCCGCTGAAGGTCGCCCAGAGATCCGACGTGGTGAAGTCAGGTCGGAGGTGTCTCGCAGCTTTCGGCCTCCCAGGGGCCCTGGAGTGCCGCGCCTGGTGACCGTCAGCAACGGATCGGGACGAAAAAGGCAGTTCTTGGCGAACGGCTCGAGACTGACGGGGACCCCGTGCCGACAAATTCACGACGTCGGAGCTCTGGGCAATTCCCGCCGTCGCAGTCTGCCCTCATCTGCGAGCCCCCGCACGGGCCGCGAGCACCGAGATGGCGGCGCTGCGCCCCGTGCACTCGCGCCTGGCGCCAGGCTTCCCGCGCGGCTGCCCGAGCCTGCGGTGGCGCCCGCCGCGGCGCGCGCCCGCCCCTCAGAGCGAGCGGCGTGCTGTCGCCCGCTGCGCGAGCGCTGCGCCAGCCGCCGCCGCGGCCGATTTCGACGCCTTCCGCTGCCCGGGCATCGAGGACGCGGCGCTGCGGATGCGTCGGCGCGTCCAGCTGGGCATGGCCGTCGAGCTCGTCGGGGTAAGCTCCAGCCACCTGTTTTCTCACAGCGTCGACTTCCCTCGCAGGCTCAGATGCCCGCCTCGTTGCGTTCACCCGCTGGGGCCTGCAACAGGCCGCCACGATCTGTCAGTGTTCGCAGCCTGCTGCGCACCGTGGAGCACCCAGGGAGCAAGGAGGGGGGAGCTTCTTGAGAGGTGGGCATCCGAGCCTGTGGTTCACGGCATTCTTGACGGTGTCGGAGCAGGCGATGTCGAACAGCTTCTTTGTGATGCTTTTGCAGTTCGGCGCAATGTGGTGGTACCAAGGCTTCACACGAGATCACCTCTTGTCGGGCCGGACGACAAGGGGGGATTGCGAAAGGGGTGCGAAATCTGCTGCAGCATGCGGCTGGTTTCGGCCCCGCCGCCGGGCCCAGTCCTCGATGCAGGGGCGCCTCCCGGCACCGGGAGGCGCTGGGAAAATCAGCTATACGTGAGCTGATTCTCGAACCCCCCCTTTGCTATCCCCCCCTTTCGCCCGGCCCGATCTTGGCCCGGCACGTCACCCGCATCTCGCTGAGCAAGCCGCTCTCCCAGGCGGCCGCCTCGGAGCAGGTGACTGCCCTGATCGAGACGGGGCCCTGGACACGGCGGCTTGTGCTGGAGCCGGCCTGTGGGGGGGCGGCGACAACACACACACACACGAGCATGTCTCAGCCACGCGCAGAGGGGGTTAGGGCCCAGACCCCCCAGACCCCCTCGAGCAATGAAACAACCATGGCGGGAGGTTTTTCTAAATTTTCGGCCTCCGGGGGCCCTCACTGGGCCTCGGGAGAGTCCAAAAACGACTCACGCTGCAAAATCGGTCATGGGGAAAGGGTCGGGACCTCTGGGGGTCGACGTAATAACAAAATCATTACGTCCGGGGTCTGACCCCCGACGTCATGATTTTTTCATGGCGCGACCTCCAGAGGTCCGGACCCATGCCCCGGGACCAGCTGTTGATCCTGAGTCGTTTTTTGACGGTCCCGAGGCCCGGTAAGGGGTAAGGGCCCCCAGAGGCCGAAAATAGCGAAAAATTTGCCGTCGTGATGTTTGTCATGACTCGAGGGGTCTGGGGAGGGGGTTATAGGGGGAGGGGGGAATGTTTCTTCAAAGCAACCTCCTTTCAGAAGCCTCCCCCCCGCCCCCTACCCCCCCTGCGCGCCGTCGAACTTCAGGGGCGTCCGTGGGCGGCGTTCTCTGCCAGCGACCGCTCCCCTCCCCGCGCCCCTCGCCCTCCCTGGGCTCCCGAGGCGCGCCGGGGCTGGACGCTGGAAGCGCCGCCCAGAGGTGGCCCGCGGTCCACTCGGCCTTCGGGTCGAGCAACTCAAGCCTCTTGTGGCCGATCGGGACGAGCCGAGCACCCCCCAAGAGATCCGAGGCTCCGGCGGGTTGGGGGCCGTTTTCGGCCTCCAGGGGCCTTGCTGGGCCGCTGGGCCGTCCAAAAGCCCAGAGATCCGGTGTCGTGATTTCTTCCATACGGGGTCCCCGGAAGTCTCGACCCATTCCCCGGGACCGATTTTTCATCCCGAGTCGTTTTTTGACGGTCCTGAGGCCCAGCGAGGGCTCCTAGGGGCTGAAATTTGCGAAAAACCTCCTCCTTGATTTTTTCAACACGTTGGATCTCTGGGAGCGACGTGCCCACGCATACCACAAGCTGGAGCGGCCAGAGGTCTGGGCCCGGGGCGCCCTCCTCCTCCTCCTCCTCCTCCGCCCCTCCCCCTCCCCCTCCCCCTCCTCCTCCTCCTCCTCCTCCTCCTCCTCGTCCTCCTCCTCCTCCCTCCTCCCTCCTCCTCAGGCGCAGCGGTGGGAGCGCCCTCGGCGAGGCAGGGGAGCACCCAGGGGCCGACGGGAGCGGCCGACGCGGCGGCCTCTCTTCGCCTCCTCCCCGGGCCCCCGACGTAACGATTCTGTCATTGCGTTTAGGTCGGGCCTGTCCCCCTACAGGAGGATCTTCGACGAAAAATAAAAAAATCACCAAACATACAAAAAGATACGGAACAAAAAATACAAAAATACAAAATACAAAAGGCCCCCGACGTACCCAGACCCCCTCGAGTTATGAAAAAATCACGACGGGCGGTTCTTTATTATTTTTGGCCTTTGGGGGCCCTCACCGGGCCTCGGGAGCGTCAAAAAACGACTCAGGATGCAAGACCGGTCCTGGGGAAAGCGTCGGGACCTCTGGGGGTCGACGTCATGAAAAAATCATGACGTCGGGGGTCTGGGTAACGATTCTGTCATTGCGTTTAAGTCGGGCCTGTCCCCCTACAGGAGGATCTTCGACGAAAAATAAAAAAAATCACCAAAGATGCTCCAAAAGTAGTCAGGGGACGATTTGTTGTGTATTGTTTTTAACTTCTCGGTGCATTTTGGCGGTATGTTTTGTTTTTCTTTGAAAATCCCGCTGCAGGGGGACACGCCCGACAGAACATTACGTCGACCCCCCGAGGTCCCGACCCTTTCCCCAGGACCGGCTCTGCATCCTGCGTCGCTTTCTGGGCGCTCCCGAGGCCCAGGTGAGGGCCCCCGGACGCCGAGAGTCAGGGAAAGCCTCCCGCCATGATGGCTTCCTTGCTCGAGGGGGTCTGGGCTAGGGGTATCGTCGGGGCCTTGACCTGAGGAGCCCAAACTAAGGAACGAGGCCCCTGTTGTCCATAAGTTAAACTTCGACTTCCTATCGAAAACATGAGGAAAACATGAGGCGAGCTGCGAAACACTCGAGGAACACGGAGTCCCTCCCCAACGAAAAGGGTTCCTCCTTCAGGGCCCCGACTGTATGGGTGCGTGCTGATCGCCCATCACTGAGGGCCCCCGGAGGCCGAAAGTTCAGAAGAGCCTCCCGCCATGATGGCTTCCTTGCTCGAGGGGGTGCGTGCTGATCCCCCCTCACCGAGGGCCCCAGGAGGCCGAAAAAGTTCAGAAGAGCCTCCCGCCATGATGGCTTCCTTGCTCGAGGGGGTCTGGGCTATGGGAGGGTGCCGGCGCCGGCCGAGAGAGAGCGCGCGCGCGGGCGGCCGGAGCTCCTTCTCCTCCGGCGCTCTTCGCTCAAGTCGGGCCGGCGCTCATCTCTGGGCGCTCGCGCCCGCCTGTTTCGTTTGCTGCCCTAGTTCTGCGGCTTTCTCCATCCTCTCCCTCCTTCTCCTGCTTGTCTCGTCCCTTCCCCTTCTCTCCTTCCCAGCGTTTGCGCGAATGCGCCGCCAGCGCGCACAGTTTTGGAAGTCCTCGCGATAGCACCGGTGCAATCCGGCCGAGGCCCCAGGCTACAGCCGGGCTGACCCAGCGTTCGTTGTGGTGTGGCTGAAAAAAAAAACTCTACAGGGGGTGTTCAAAAAGAGTCAAACAATTAGCCAGGGACCAGTCGCTGGCTGTGTTTTGTTTGGTCATTCTGGGGGCCTTCTTGGGGTATGTATGATTTTTGCGTGGAAGATCCGCCTATAAGGGGGACATGCCCGATCTAATGGTTCTCGGGCCCCCCCAGGTCGGCACGGGCGCGGGCGACCGGGTGCCGTTGGGGCTGCTGATCCGCGGCGGCGCCCTCCACAGCTCGAGGGACAAGAAGCGGCATGAGCATGAACTCCTGGCGTTAGGTCGGGCAGGTTCCTCTGCAGGAGGAATAATCAAAGCTAGTCAAAAAAATAGTCCCGGGCACAGTTTTTTGACCAGTCCGGATCACTTGGGAGTATTATTTTGTCATTTTACATTTTTCATCCAAAATCCCCCTGTAGGGGTACATGTCCGACTTAATCCTGGCGGTCCGCGCTGATTCCTTTGAGCCGCGCTGGCCCCCCCCACCGCCCCCCCCAGCGCCGCCTCTGGCGCCGCCCCTGGCGCGCTCCGCGCGCCGGGGAGGGGGGGGGATTTTAGCGCAGATCCAAGAAACCCGCGCGGACCTCCAAAAGTTTGTGTGTGTGCGTGTTTTCTTCCTCAAACATCGACTCGGCGCGCGGCGACGTCCTCGACCAGGGTTCGCTGGAGCTCCTGCGCAGCGGGCAGGTGCGCATTGTCTCGGAGGAGCTGGTCGTTGACGAGGAGGCCAGGAGCCGAGCGCTCGTGGGGAGCTTCGAGGTGCCCGCTCTGATCCAGGACCGCCCCGAGGAAGAAGGTGCGAGGGGGAGGAGAAAGTGAAGGGAGGAGGAGGAGGACGAGGAGGAGGACGAGGAGGAGGAGGAGAAAGAGGAGGAGGGGTGAAAGGAGGAGGGGTGAAAGGAGGAGGGGTGGAGGAGGAGGAGGAGGGGAGGAGGAGGAGGAGGAGGAGGAGGAGGAGGAGGAGGAGGAGGAGGGGTGAAGGAGGAGGAGGTGGGGTGGAGGAGGAGGAGGAGGAGGAGGAGGAGAGGAGGAGGAGGAGGAGGAGGAGGAGGAGGGGGGAGGAGAGGAGGGTTGAGAGGAGGAGGAGGAGGAGGAGGAGGAGAAAGAGGAGGAGAAAGGAGGAGGGGTGAAAGGAGGAGGGGGAGGGAGGAGGAGGGGTGGAGGAGGAGGAGGAGAGGAGGAGGAGGAGGAGGAGGAGGAGGAGGAGGAGGAGGAGGAGGGGTGAAGGAGGAGGGGTGGGAGGAGGAGGGGTGAGAGGAGGAGGAGGAGGAGGAGGAGGAGGAGGAGGAGGAGGAGGAGGAGGAGGAGGAGGGGTGGGAGGAGGAGGAGGGTTGGGAGGAGGAGGAGGAGGAGGAGGAGGAGGAGGAGGACCAGAGTGGACCAAAGAGGCAGAAGCGATGCTGCAATATATCGTCTCGTCCCAAATCCCCCCCTCACACGCTCCTACGCGTCCGCAAGAAGCGCCCCCGTTGAAAGATCAGAACAGTTGGGCTGGGCTTTGAAAAGGGTGTGCCTTGCATCTTTCTGACGCGTAATCAGGAAACCGGAAAACATTGATCGCACATTTCAGCGATGTGTTGTCTTCGATGTTCCGTCGAAGTAGGATCGCCACCCATCTTCATGATTGATGCACAAGTCGAAACTTTTGGTTGTGAATGTCGATGAGGTCCCTAGCGACAGCTCGATGTTCAAAAAGAGCCGCCATGAATCCGTGCAGCGCTAAGTGCGTTGAAGGTCCGGATCTTCACTTTGAATGATTTTTCTGGCGGGAGCTCCATTGCGAAACAGCGCAGTACTACATGCTGCTAAACTTGCGTGCGGTGCTGGGCGAGAGGTCCATGTGGAGAAACGGCCAGTGCCCGACACCCGGAACTGTTACAAGACTTAGAGGCGAATGTTTGCGGCGCTCAGGCGAGAAATCCCACTTTGGTAAGGAGTCGCCCTCCATCCGCGAAGCTAGTTCAACCTTTTAAGAACGCATGCGCGCGGCGCTGAGGCGAGAGCCGCATTTGGAACAAAAAACTAGCCATCCTCCATCCTTGAGGATGCTGCAAAAGTGTAAGGCGACTGTGCGCGACGATGGTAAGGCAAGAGCCACAGTTTGAAGACGGCGTTCCCCCCCCCCCTCACCCGTGAAGCTCTGTGCGAACTTTGAAGACGAACCAACGCGGCCCTGAGGTGAGAGCCACATGTTGAAAACAAGTTGCCGTCCATGCACGAACATGCCCCACATGTTTAAAACAACTTCGTGCGACGCTTAGGCGAGAGGATACATTTTGAAAAGGAGCCACCTTCCATTCGTCAAGCTTCTGCGAACCTTGAAGACGAATGTGCGCGTCGCTACGGCGGCAGCCACATGTTGACTTCCCCCCTGCCACTTGTGAAACTCTTCTTAACATCCTGTCGGCGAATTTGCTGCTCGGCGCCAAGGCGAGAGCCACAGTTCGACAAGTACCCTCCATCCGTCCGTGAAGCTGTTTCAAATGCCAAGCTTCAGGGCCCAACACGGTTGAGCAAGTCTCAGGTGAAATGCCTGGCCCGCCCAACCGTCACGTTTGGTGGTGCGACAGGGAGGAGTTATGTACAATGAAAAGGTACGGATGGGGAGGAGGGAGGACGAGGCGGAGAGGGAGAAAGACGAGGAGGAGAAGGACAGGGAGAAGGAGAAGGCGGAGGAGGACGAGGAGGATAAGGAACGGGCGGAGGAGGATGCAGGGGAGGAGGAGGAGGAACGGGAGGAGGAGGGGGAGGAGGAGGAGGAGGAGGAGGAGGAGGCAGAGGAGGAAGAGGGGGGGGAGGGGGAGGAGAAGGAGAGGGAGGGGAGGGAGGAGAGGGAGGAGGAGGACCAGTGCAAACCCAAGGCACATCAACGATGTTGCAATAAACCCTCCAAGTTCCCTCGTCATAGATCCCTACAAGAATTTATTCTCATTGCGGGAAATGCCCTGTGGAAGACAAGCGTCTGGGAATTCTCAACCGTGCCAAAGCACAACTCTTGGGACTTCAGCGCCGCGAAGCAGCGTGACCGTTGCGTCCTGACAGCCCTAAGCCGTGTCAGAACACAGTTCGTGGGACCCTCGAACCGCGACAGCGTGACTGTTGTGTCTTGGCAATCTTGAATCATGCCAGAAAACCGTTCCTGGGACTTCAACCACGAGAATCCACCCAACTTGCCTATAGAAGTTTAAGGCGCATGTGTGTGGCGCTCAGGCGAGAGCCACAGGTTGACAAATAACTCCCCTTCACCTTTGAAACCGCCGCGAACTTTTGAGACGAATGTGCGCGGCACTACCGCGAGCACATTTTGAAACAGAACCGCCCCCCATCGGTGAAATTGCTGCAAGCCTCAAGCTTCAGGCTCATAACTTGTGAGGAAGTCTGGTGGGTGCGACAGGGAGGAGTTATCTACAAGGAACAAAGATGGAAGAGGAGCAGGAGGAGGAACAGGAGGAGGAAGAGGAGGAGGACCGGGAGGAGAAAGAGGAGGAGGAGGAGGACCGGGAGGAAGAGGAGGAGGAGGAGGAAGGCCAGCGTAAACCAAAGAGTCATCAACGATGTTGGAAGCAACCCTCCCTCGAAGCTCCCTACAACGGTTCATTTCCATTGAGGGAACTGCCTCGTTGGAAGACACCCTTGAAGACCCTGACGCATGCCAAAGCATTGTGCTCGGCACTTCAACGCCACGGATCAACCTGACTGCTGTGTCTTGACGCTCTGGAATCGTGCCAGAACGCTTTTGGGGGATTTCAAATTTGCGAATCAACGTAAACGTCGCACCCGCATAACCTTGAATCCTTCCAAAACATTACATCACTTCCCTCATGGGAACCCGTGAAACTCTTGTAACATGTATAAACGAATGTGCGCGGCGATAAGGCGAGAGCCACATTGTGAAGAGAAGCCTCACTCAGTCCGTGAAACTCTTTCGAATCTTTATACAAAAAAACGAATGTGCGAGGCGCTAAGGCGAGAGCCACATTCTGAAAACGACCCGCCCTCAATCCGTGAAACTCTGGCAAATGTTTAAAACGAATGTACGCGGCGCTAAGGCGAGAGCCACAGTTTGAAAACGACACGCCCTCAATCCGCGAAGCTCTTGCAGTTTTTGAAAATCGATGTGCGCGGCGCTAAGGCGAGAGCCACATTTTGAAAACCATCCGCCCTCCATCTGTGAAGCTGTTGCCACTTTTTAAGCTGCAGAATTACAAAAGGTGAGGAAGTCTTTGTCGATACGCCCGGCCCGCCCTAAAAACGTGTCTCGGAGTGCGACAGGGAGAAGTTATTTATAAGGAAGGAGGGGGAGGATGAGGAGGAGGAAGAAAAGGATGAGGAGGAGGGGGAGGAGGAGGATGCAGGGGAGGAGGAGTAGGAGGAGGAGGTGGAGGGGGAGGAGGAGGAAGAGGAGGAGGAGGAGGGGAGGGGGAGAGGGAGGAGGAGGATGACGACGACGACGACGATGAGGAGCAGGAGGAGGAGGAGGAGTGGGAGCAGGAGGATGAGTTTTTAGTAGTCTGAAAGTTGCGCCACGCAGGTGCAATCCTCGCCGCATAGCATCACATCGCATTCTAGCTCCGGATGCTTCGCTGCCGACTCTGGAGGCAAGCCACGACGCATGCATGATGGGACGCCGCTGCCCGATTTGGCCAGGGGGCTGCACCGAACCATTGGCTGGCGCGCGTGCTCAGCACATAGAGCCCCGCAGGACGTGCAACTCAGAATGCGTCTTATGACCCCCAGGGTATGGGCAAGGTGGCAGTCGGCAGCCCGCGGGAGCGAGGCTCGAGGTGTTTCGAACGTCTGCGTCGGTCCGCGGCGATTTGTCAAGCGCGGGATGCTTGCCAGCAGCTGCGCCTGGCCCAGGGCGTTCCAGGGAGGCCCCGGTCGTCCCGAACGGCCGCCAGAGACCCGAGTCATGACCGGAAAACCAAGTCCGGCGGCGACCGCGGGGGGAAGTGAGAAGGAGAAGGAGAAGGCCTTCTCAGAAGGCTCCGAAGTCTCCCAGCCTTCTGAGAAGTGTTCTGGGCCATCCCCCGAAGACGCTGAACACCTCTCAGAAAAGGCGCGAGGCCTTCTGAGAAGTGCCGCCGCCCTCTGAGAAGGCCGTCTCCTTCTCACTTCCCTCCCCCTCGCCCGCCGCCGATGAGAGGTCGGGGGTAGGGAGGCGAACCTCGCCTGGAGAACAACCTGGCTGGTGCTTTGGGGGCACCACAGAGCAGTACATTCCACACGAGGGTCATGACCATTAGAGCCGTCAGACGCGCGTGCTTAGCATCAGCTGATCTGCATCATTCCCGCCTGCGGCGCACAGGCTGGCCAACTCGGGGGGCGGCCTTGCGGTCGGGGGTGCCCAGCACCTCACGCCGGATTGCGTGGAGTCGTCGAACCATTTGGGACGCTAACGAGTCCGCATCGCACATGAGTTTAAGTTGTGGGACGCGGGCGGCAAATGCAGCAGCAGATCTGGAAGCAAAACCATATGCAGCGCGATTATGAGACAGATGTAGCTCACCTGGTCTGAAGCCGAGGGTCAGAATCTGATTATGGGTGGGTGAGCCTTGGTCCACAACAATTTGACCGTGCCTAGCCTCTAGGAGAGTTCTGCATGCACACGGGCCCAGGGTTCAAGCATCGATGCTTCGTTCAGCGCAATCAACGGGCGACGGGAGTTCTTTACCACCATCAGACAAGCGCAGTACAAGATCATCTCCCCACGATAACGATGCAGTGACGGAATGAGGGCGTACAGTTCAGCCTTGGTAGTCGAAGGCCAGACTGTCAGATTGGATTGGGCCCCCAGGGCCAATCTGGCCCGGCCAAACTGGATGATTTGGGTTATTTGCCAGACTGGATCGCGTTGGCTCCCTCGCCAGATTGCCCCCGTTTGCCAGATTGAGCCTGCCAGATTGGCGCCAGATTGGCTTCGACTACCCAGTCAGCTCGAGGTGAGCTCTGCGCTTGACAGTGGGGAAGTTGTCGAGGGCGAGGGGGTCGAGGCCGCCATCAGGCCCACGGCGGCCGATAGACCACCCACACCTCCTTGGCCTCCAGCCTTAGCATTTCCACCACGAGGGCCATTGCTTCAGGAGGGGAAAAAACACACAGACACAATTATTCGTCGATTCCCAGGAAAATATGCAAAAATATGGGAAGTGGGGGGGAAAACGAAAATCAAAAACATACGGAAAAATATGGGGGATCCTTTTATTTGTGTGTATTTATTTGTGTGTCTCAGGGCCCCTTCATTGTTCCCCCAAGTCCCTCCATTCATCCGACCTTCCGTCCTGCACCAGCCCCACGTCCACGGTCCACGAGAGGTCCCTGGAAGGGGGGAGGCGGGACGTGGAGACGGGGGGGTCGCCACGCCCCTGAGCCACAGGTGCGAAAGGTGCTCTGCAAGGTTCAGCACATGCCCAGTAACGAGCGAGGAGGAGGAGGAGGAGGAGGAGGAGGAGGAGGAGGAGGAGGAGGAGGAGGAGGAGGAGGAGAGGAGGAGGAGAGGGAGGAGGAGGGAGGAGGAGGAGGAGGAGGAGGAGGAGGAGGAGGAGGAGGAGGAGGCGGGTCAGAGCCAGCGCGGAACTCCAGGAGGACCACGTCGCCGCGTACCGCTGGTGGGCCTCGCTGCCCGCCCCCTTGCAGCGCCCCCTGCAGTGGAGAGGCAGCTCGGCGACGCGCAGTTTCGGCCTGGCGGCGGTCGCCATCGGGCGGGGGGGGGAAGGCTGCGCCGCAGGGGAGCGCCCTCTGAGACGGGCCGACTTGGCAGGGAGAAGCCCTCTATGTCAAAGGCAGAAAATACGCCCCTACCCTGGTTTACGAGGCGCTGTGCTCTGAAACTCTTGTGGGCTGACAGGGTAAACCCTGCGTGATGTGCCGCGTCCTGGCGGCTCTACGCTTTGGGGGTTCCCAGGAGGTTCACAGACCACGCACTTGTAATCCAGGGTAGGGTCGTTTTTTCATCCCTCAATATGAGGCGGCACCCTCACCAGCGACGTTGCAGCAAACCCTCCCTCCAGGTGTTTCCTTGGTCCGTGCCAGAAGCCTGGCATCGCTCGGACGTGTGCATGTTTTCTCGGCGAGAACCATTGGGGACGATCCTGGACCCTCGAGCAAAAAAGACACGCACGAAACCGAAACATGCACGGGAAATGGACGTCCGAGCGATGGCGAGGAAGTTGTTCCCAGAATGCGCGCGGCGCTCATGCAAAAACCGCATCTTTGCTGCCGGTGGATTTGCTTCGAGCGAACGTTCGTGGCACTAGGGCGAGGGCTCCGTGCTTGAAACGGCCCGCCCTCCATACTTACAACTGTTGCACAGGTTAGAGAATTAATAGGGGGCCACATGCGAACCCTACCCCTACCCCCCTCAGAAATCGTGGGGGGTAGGGGTAGGGTTCGCATGTGCCCCCCTAATTAATCGCGTGGCGCGAAGGCGGAGTCCCATTTTTAAGACGGCCCGCCCTCCATCTTTAGAGAGTGCTTCAGCTTTCAAGTTTCCGTATCATGAATTGTGAGCAGGTCTCAGGCGAAACGCCCGGCCAGAACTACGGACTCGTCTGGGGGTGCGACATAAGCATAAGGAAAGGGTTGAAAGGAGGAGGGAGGAGGAGGAGGAAGAGGAGGAGGAGGAGGAGGAGCAGGAGGGCAACGAGGGTGGGAGGGATGGAGGGAGAGACGAGGGGAAGGAGAGAAAGAGGAAGGGAGGAGAAGGAGGCGGACGAGGAGAGGAGAAGGTGAAGGCGGAGTAGGGGGAGGAAGGGGAGGAGAAGAGGGAGGTACTGGAGGAAGTAGAGAACGAAGGACAATACGAGAAGGAAGAAGGGGATACGGATGGGTGGATGGAGGAGGAACTGGCTCCCTCTGCAGAGCAGGCCCAGTTTCGGTCGCAGGGCGGGCGGCGCGGAAAACGTACCCTCGGGACTTCGGCGCTGGCCGGAGGCTCCGGGGGTAAACAGCACACACCACACACAAAACCAAACCAAAAAACAGCTTCGGTGTATTCACCGGTCGTTGAAAGTAGGTATCCTTGGATTCCCTGATCCCATCCTATTTCAAGCGCCTTCCTGCTTCAAGAATCGATGTGTGTTCTGTCGTTTTTGTTGTTGTTTGGGCGGGCCCGAACCAAATCTAATCAATCCGCCTTCCTACTTCATGTTTCTACCTACTTCTTCCGACCAGCGTGTACAGCCGGGAGTGTTGAGGGCTTCCAGCACCCTTGCCGGAAGTGACCGGATCACGAGCGCGGTCCTGTCTGTTCCCGCGGGGCTTTTGGTCGTTCGCGCAGCGGAGGAGGCGGTGGAGGGGGAGGCAGACGAGGGAGCGGGGCAGGTGCTGACAGATGGGGGCAAGGAGGGCGAGGGACGAGAAAGAGCGCGGAGGAGGAGGAGCAGAGCCAGAGTAAACCCAAGGTGCATCAATTGATGCTGCAATAATGTACCCTCCCGTTCCAAGCAGCTTTCTCGTAAGTCCACGCAGGTCTTCCTCTCCACTGCGGGCGCCCCCATAGTAATGACGAGTGGCCGGTCGGTGCGCCAGTCAGACGAGGACGCCTGTTGTAAAGGACCAGCCCTAGACTTGAAGGCCCAGGGTAGCTCCATTTTGAGAAGCACATGCCCTCCATCCGTGTAAGCGTTGCAGGGTACGCATGCTCTGCGGAAGCCCCACGCGAAAGCCCTTCAAGAAGACCCAGGGATAGCTTCATTCTGAAAAAGTAAAAATAGCATATCCTCCATTCGTTTCAGCGTTGCCGGATGTGAAAATCGTGGACGTCTGCTTCATGAAAATCTCACGCGAGAGCCCCATTTCGAAAGAGGAACTGCCTTCCATCCGTGTTAGTTGTTGCACACTTTGGAATGCTGGGTCGGATAAGTGGACAAAAGGCCCACATGATTCTAGATGGTGGACTTGTTATCTGAATGCGCGCGAGGCCAAGGAGGGATCCCAATACGGTGGGGGCGTTCGTTAAGGAACATGCCCAGGAGGCTGCAGACCGTGGACGATTCCTTGTCTGATGATGCGACGGTGATATCCATGGCCGATCCACGATTGGAGTTCCACCGGCTTCCAGACCCTGGATTCCGTATCTAAGGGCTCCTTGAACGGAGAACCCCCAGAACCGCCTCTCACCCTCAGATACTCGAGGTAAACGCCCGGGACGCCTCGGGAAATACCGCAGGCGATCCTCAAGCCAGACACCTGCGCCCAGATACGTGGCTCCCTGGGCACCAGGCGCTGCGGCCCTTTTAGGAGCCCGCGCCTGCACTCTGGCGTGGCCCCTGCCGCCCGGAATCCCCAGCATTGCACAGCCAACGCCTCCTCCCCTCCTCCTATTACTTCAGAGTGGATGGCCAGCCACGCCGAAGGACTCGGGCAGGACACTGCCGGAGTGGACCGCCCTCAGCCACAGGCCGGCGCGTGCCAGCCACCCAAACGGCCTCCGAGACGCTGGTTTGACCTTTTACCCGGGCGAGCACATGATTGCCGCCATTGGGCGCCGCGTAATGGGGGGGTCATAAATGGGGGGGTGGCGAGCGTGGTCCGAAAAGGTACCCAAACGGTACTTAACCGAGCCCCCTGGGGCTCTGGAGGGGCACGAAAGGGGACCTTTTTCTGACCCCCCCATTTGTGACCCCCCCATTAAGCCACGCCCAACGCCATCGCCGCCGGAGGGGCCATAACATCCAGACAGATGGAGAAACCGCTGTGCCGTCGTCCTGCCGGCCGGCTCAAACCTGCGGGCTGCCGGCCGCGGAGAGGGGCGTCCCCACATCCGCCTCCGAATGCAGTTCGTCAGTGGGAGCGCCTTCGCGTCTAGGCAGCCCGCGCGCCAGCCTCCTGTTCCTTCCCTTGCCGACGCAGGAGTCGCGACGGCACGGACCAGGCCAGCCCCCCTCCCAATCAGATTTTCCGCCTCGACCCATTCGGAGCCGGGGCCAGCAATGCCCACTCGCTTCCCCGACCTGACCGAGCTCCCGGCAACGGACCAGGGGGATGGCCCAATTACGAAATGGACAGACAGAGCCAGGGAAGACCGACAGCACGGTACAACTGGGATCTGTTTATATGGGTTATGCAGTTCACGAATCCCGCGCGGCTGGACCGCGACCACGTATACCAACTTATCGGAGAGCTTGGCATTCGGGAGGGGGGGGACGCCTTCTGCGCCTGTGGCAGCTGCCTCCCGGACTGCAACACGCTATAGGGGCGCTGATGTCTGGGCGCCGCGTCCACACCCGTAAGGGTAAGTTCACAGGCCCGCTCAGGAAGCTTCTCCGGTCGGTAGGCAAGGGTGGCACGGCATCCCCCCTCCCATGGAGCATGGGTTACGACCCTATTATCGAGGTCGTCGCCAACTGTGCCGCCGGCGACTGTCCCACATACGTAGACGACTTCGCCTGCCTGGCAGGTGGGGCCCCCCAGGCCTTGCGTGCGTCAGTCGCCCTCCCCTAGGCGGCTCACGCCGCTGGACTACTTGTCGACGTGCACAGGTGTGGGGGCCCACTCCCGCCCCATGGGATGCCCGTCGTGACTGCCCTCCTACAGGATCTCCCCGTCCATGCCCACCCCAAGCCGGAAGGGGCCTTGATCTCCGGCCTTCCCACCCCACTCCTCAGCGCTTTGGTCAGCCGAGCTAACGGGGTGGAGGTCGCCAGCAGGCGTTCCCCTTGGGGCCCCCCGTCCTCCTGCTCCTTCAAGACTGCCGTCGCCCCAGCCGGGCGCCACGACTGGTGGCGCCGCCTTTTCAGCAACTCCCCCTTTGGCGCCTCCTGCGCATGGGCGCTGCGGATGTATCTCGCGCAGGCGAAGGGGAACTCCTGCACCGCGCGGGTTTGTTCACTCCTGCCCAGCGCGCTGAGCTTGTCACCGGGGCCTGGGCCAAGCCCGATGCCAAAACGCGGGGCCGAGCCATGACCATCCAGGTCGCCGCGTGTTCCCCATCCAGACCCGCCGCTGCCTGGAACGCCTTTCCGGCTTCTCATCCCTTACCCTGCCCACGCTGCATGGCCCCCGACACCCTGCGAGAGCGCGCTCTCAAGGCGCAGCTTCGGGTCGCGCTCGGCATCGCCGCCGGATCCTGGGCACCCGACTACGCATCCACGGGGCTGAGCATTCTCTATCAGGTCTCTGGCTGCCCCCGCTGCCCTTCCGCTAACGCCCGCGCAATTGATGCCAAGGCGCGCGCGCGCTCCATGATCTACGGGGGCCCGCCCCCGCAGGGAAGAGGGCCACCGCGAGATGGGAGAAACTCTGCGAGTGGACCGCCCGCGCCCCGCGCGACGCCCCAAACCCCCATCCTGGCTCCAAAGTCTTCGCCTATCACAAAGCCGCCCAACTGCTGCGCCGAGCAAGAGGCTCCCCAGACCGTATCAGTGGCAAGTTCTTTGGGCGAGTCGTGTACGCTACGGCTTGGGGCCAGATGTACGGAGAGGCGGCGGCCGCGTGGATGCGCAGCGCGAGCGCCAGTAGAAGGTGGGCCCCTGGGACCCACGCGGAGTAGAACCTTCTCCGCCACTGCCCCTCCTTCAACGCCGCCTTCCACGTCCTCCGGGATGCCTGGCTCCGCCCGCCGGAGATCCGCCGAGGACCGCCTTGAGCACATCTGCCGCAACTTCGGCAGCCCCGCCTCGAGAGTCCGGTTCGCGCGGAGCCCCAGCGCCCTCGGGCGCGCTCGGTGCCCCTCGCGCCTGGGGCCCTGGGGCCGCTCCTGCGCCCTCTGGCCAGCCATGGACGCCGCTCTCCTACCACCGGGGCTCAGTCGCGCGAGCTCGGCCCTTCGGGGAGGGCGCGCGCCCCTGGAGACG